TTTTCTCTAGCGCCCGTCCACTGCCCTCTTTCTCTACGCTTCCCGCCACTTTCTCCCTCTGTCTTGTTTCCGCGGAACTAAATTCACTTCGTCGGCCGTTCGGATCAGCTAGACCACAACCGTACGCATTTTTTTTTTCTCAAACTGCATACAGAGCATTTCAGATTCGAGATACGAGCGTAAAAGACCATAAAACGGATAAATGTTTCTCTGGGCAAAAAGTTTGTTGTTACGGGAAAGAATTAAAATCAGATAAACGTTTCGACAGCCGGATGGGTCCCGCGGACCGCAGGTCGAGTGTGTCTCAACTAGACGAAACATGAACACCGTCACTCGATACTCGGGCTGGCTTTCTTGTACCTTTTTCTTTCGCCACCGCATTCCGTTCGACGTTCGCGTCATTTACGGCGTTAAAATACATCATCCGCGATAAAGAATCTCTCCTACCGAGAATTAGTCCTGTTTTATCGCTCGTTGATCGCGGCCGCTGATGTTCCCAACATTTGTTTTGTAAACACTTAATAAAACCTAACGGTAAATAGTTTGCCAGACGCGGAAAAACGAAACTGTAAATGTTCTCGTGTCGATCAACAAACGATATAATTATTATTTGTATGGAATAATTTTCTATCTGGAAGTGTTTTTCGTTCGTTGTAAAAGTCGACGGTACGCGTTGCAGCTTTCTTCCCGATCGAGAGGAAAATTCACAAATAAACGGAAACGCGAAGATGGCGGGGCGCAGACTATAAACAATGCCCGCCACGATACATGTTTACTTTCGGATAATTTTTGGACGACGGCCAACGTCGTTTCACGCTCGGCACGTCAATTTGATACTGGCAACCGGCCGAAATTTTCGTCAAACAGATGTCCGAATGACTGTTATTATCCGCTTGTTACAAACGGGAACGGAGAATGCAAAATCTCGGCGGTAGCGATGCCCGCCAAATTTAATGGGCGCTGTTGACGTATTCTGATAGGTTAAGAATCGCATTCCCCGTGAAATAACGGTCGGTCGAAATCCACGTAACCGTTTGCTCGATAAGAATCTGGTTTTCAAATCTGTTGACGACCTAAACCCTTTTATGGTTATATAATCATTGGGGTACTTTAATGTTTGAAATATGTAAAACTATAAATTTGGCAAATTAGTTTAAAATTTGATTGTCTGGGTTACTTTGAATTCCATATACATAATTATAAATTTGGTCTGGGTTAGGTCTGGGTTAGGTTAAATCTGTTAACGACCTGAACCCTTTTGAGGTTAATACGCATAATAAAACACATAATCGTTGGGGTACTTTAATGTTTGAAATATGTAAAACTATAAATTTGGAAAATTTGTTTAAAATTTGATTGTCTGGGTTACTTTAAATTCCATATACATAATTATAAATTTGGTCTGGGTTAGGTCTGGGTTAGGTTAAATCTGTTGACGACCTGAACCCTTTTGAGGCTAATACGCATAATAATACACATAATCCTTGGGGTACTCTAATGTTTGAAATATGTAAAACTATAAATTTGGCAAATTTGTTTAAAATTTGATTGTCTGGGTTACTTTAAATTCCATATACATAATTATAAATTTGATCTAGGTTAGGTCTGGGTTAGGTTAAATCTGTTAACGACCTGAACCCTTTTGAGGTTAATACGCATAATAAAACACATAATCCTTGGGGTACTTTAATGTTTGAAATATGTAGAATTATAAATTTGGAAAATTTCTTTAAAATTTGATTGTCTGGGTTACTTTAAATTCCATATACATAATTATAAATTTGATCTAGGTTAGGTCTGGGTTAGGTTAAATCTGTTAACGACCTGAACCCTTTTGAGGTTAATACGCATAATAAAACACATAATCGTTGGGGTACTTTAATGTTTGAAATATGTAAAACTATAAATTTCGAAAATTTGTTTAAAATTTGATTGTCTGGGTTACTTTGAATTCCACATATATAATTATAAATTTGGTCACTTATGTAAATCAAAATATAATACAAATTTAAGTTGTTAAAGTTAAAAGTAATTTCAGTGATTGTTTCCAACAGCCTTGGCCAACACTGGAACGTATTTCCAACTGACTGTATTTCTGAGCGGTGGCAATTATGAACTATTTAATAAAGATTGTATGTTAGTAATTATTCGTGGCACAAAGTGTGGTAAATTGCGTTTATATTACTATAATCTGTCTCGCCATTAACTATGTTATTCTTTATTAACGATGAAGGAATTTATTAATAAAGAATAATACAATTAATGACAAGGCAAATTACAGCAGCGTAGACGTAATTTGCCACATATAATTGGTATTGCACAATCATTTTTTTCTCAATAGTTCATGACTGCGCCGCTCTGAGATAATACCAGTTGAAAATAAAATGATTTTTAAACTTAACCGCTAAAATACATATATAAAATTTGAAAATTTCTATCTCTTATAGAAATTTTATCCACCGTATGCGTTTATCCGTAAAACTGAATGCTTGGTCGTGTATGATACACGGATAAGTTGAAATGACATAATGACTGGAATAATGCGTAGAAGACAATTCGATGGAATCGTCCGCTCGTTGAAATCGCATGTGCATATGGACGAGCGCATTAACTTCGCGACCGAGTGTACGCGAACTGCGAGTAGTAGCTGAATTAGAGCCTGGTCGTGTCAACACCGAACGAATAGACGTGGCAACGTTGTACGGACGAGTTTAGTAGCCGGCTAGCCAAAGCACGGAGTAGCCGACCGGTGGAACGTCCGCACGTCCGGGAACGACCTTCCTTTACTCGTCCCGTGTCGAGGAACCTCACCTCCCGGATCGTCGAACAGAGTTCTTCATCTTTCTCGAACCAACAATTTTTCTGTCCCGATACGAATTTAAATCGACCGTAAATTCTTACCCGTTGGTTGCAACAGCAAAGCACCCACGAACAAATTCTTCTCACACGACTTACACAAATTCTAAGGCGTTCCAACGTGATCATTCTTTCGTTCTACGCGCGACACATTAACCTATTAACAAGCTGTTCTCGAGTATGGCAAAACTTGAGCAACAATATTATTCTAGACGGTCATGTTAAAAGAACAAGAAGCACAAACATAGTAAAATGTAAAAATATCTTTACTTTTTGCACTTGTTTATACGTATGATTGTTAAAACGTAAATTGCGAAATTAAGTCAGTGCGTACAGACTTCCGGTGTCCGTCGATTAATTCAGCGGCGAAAAGTTCATGGTCGCGTTAGATACGTGATTTTGAATATTCGCGGAATACCGGCGTGAAAATTATTTCGCGGCAGTATCGGCGAAACCAACCTCGAAACAACTTTTCTCGACCGGCGATTAACGAAAGAAAAAGGAACGCTCCGACCATTACGATATATGCGGTTTATGCAGGTTTTTTTTTTTTTTTTACGGTGTGCTCCCAAGACGGAGGTTTATTCGATTAATTCGCCTTAGATACGGAACGTGTAATCCGACCGCGGTACACGTCCTAGGGGGTTTCGCTTCGCAGTTGGCACACGTGCGCAGGTGGAGTATGGCTTTTGCTAGGTGGTAGTTTTTTTTACACCGAGAGAGCTCTAGTGGCTTTTTCCCGTCGTTTCTTTGGTAGCCAATCCGTGGGAGGGACGAAGAGAGGAACGGCGAGGGGGGGGGTAAGAGCGTGGAACGGGGTACACACGGTTATCGGAAAAGGAAAGTAATACCCGTAGAGTCGAGAAAGAGAAGTCAGGGTTCGGGGGCTTCGTTCCTTCCAGCTGGCCTGGCACGGCAAAGGAGGCCTTGTCGCGCGGCTGCTCGTTCGGTCAATGTCTTCTCTTTCTGCCTCGCGCTCCCTCCTCTCTGCCTTCCTCGTCCTCCCCCCTCCCCTCTCCGCCCCTTTTTTCGCACGCCCCTCCCCCCACTTTCTACGTCCTCCCATCCCCTCCCCGGCGGGCTCCCTTCACCTTTACCCCGCTCGTTGCCTCTTTCATTCTCCCCCACCATTCGTGTGCTGCATCGCGCACACGAGACACGGTGCTCGCCTGTGAATCTTGCTGTCATCTTTGCGAACGCCCGTCCGTCTTAAAGCTGGATTCCGTACGTGGAAAATACGCTCCCGCCGCGGCCAATCGTATCCGGCTCCCGCGTAATTCGTCTCGTCTACCCGAAACACGGGGATCGTTTATCGCGATAACGGTATTTAGGTGCACAGAGGGGAAACAACGAGAGAAAAGGAGGAGGGCGATGGTGGGGGCAGAGCGCCACCCGTTCGGAAATGTGCACTGACATCGCGGTTTAAAGCCACCCGACGGAAAGGCGTTCTCGTGCGGCTTTTTCTACTGTGCGCGCGACCAGCGTCCAAGTTCCGCCGTTCTACGCGGATTCTCGCGCGCGAATCCCGAGAAATCCGTCGACGTTGACACGCGAGCACCAGAGATCGGCCGATTTTTATCCACCCGCGCGGCGAGGTTGTGACAGAGATCGGTGGTGGCGTGTTTACCATACGTGTTGAATACACCCGTTCGCTGGTTGGTGGGATTTTATATGCGCGTTGATACCGAGCATCGGGCGAACGTGTACACCAAGTATCGTCCGTGTATCGAATGTAACCAACGATCTCGACGAATGCAATTCGATTATTTTAATCCTCGACCGCGGAGCCAGAGATCGTACTAAGAACCACCGTAAGGATTATGCTACGTTTATCGTGATACCGCTTGCAACAGCATCCTTAGGTTCACGCAAATGACGACAGTTCTCCTAGAATGCAATCTTACGTTCACAAGGATGTATACCGAGCGTTGAAATCGTTGATCGCGTGTCATGTTTCCGTTAACGTTTCTTTGGATCTTGCGTCTTTGCTGAACACGAATTATATTGTTGTCGTACCTGCAAATACAATTAATTTTACAATGTATTCTATAAAATTCATTCCCTTTTTTTCTTTTTTATGTGTAAGAAATTTGTATTCCATGTGATGCAAAAATGTAACTTGGTTCATTTGTTTCTGATTCCAGAGTGCAATAAAGCTAGCTGGTAAAAATAATGTCAAGAAATTGCACACACTACTGTCAATAGTGGAAGAAAAACCAAAGGTGGATACAGGACAGAACAATAGACACAACGAGCACCACATCAAAAACCATTTCAAGCACAACCATTATACACACAATTCCATACTGACACCTTCGACGCTTAACCAGGTAATTTTCAAATGATATACAAGTATTATGTCTTCGTGTGACGGAAACATCATCTAACTATGGATTGCTTTGTAGGGCCTAGATGCAGGTACAAGCGACGATAGTGGTAGAGCATCTGAACAACTGCATGGCCCTGGTATACCTAGGGATTGCCAGGACGCAGACAGTTCCAGGGACCACCTCAGCGATGTAAGCAAACCTACCAACGAATCGATTATTATAACCGTATGACAAATGATACTTGATTAAATTCTCATGCTCGTGTAATTTCTGTTGTGCTTACAGGCTAGCAGTCATTGCAGTTCGGGTAAAGGTTATATCGTAAGTGTCAGAATCCTTCCAAGTTGGAACGTTACTTATAAATGCAATTTGCTGTAGTAATAATTGTACGTTATTTCTGTTTCTTGCTATAGTGTGATAGTGAAGGAGAAGACGATAAGGTACATAGGCTTTACATCACTAATAGTGTACAATGATAAGCGAACAACCTTTTTTGAACAACCATTTTATTCCAGGGCTCGGATGCTGAATCGATACTCTTTGAATCTTCTACCCCACCACCCCTTGCACGTAAATGTAAGTAAGAAAGATGAATTACCAGTATATCTATTCGCATCATAAATGATTCGATGTTACAACTGATTTTGCAGACGAGTTGCCATCGTCTTCACCACACGTATTGCCTCCAGCGAATGGGGCAGGAGGTTCCCCTCCGGACACTGGTGGACAAATTTCTAATCCAGCAACGGATGCTCCGGCACCTATACCGCCTCCTGTGCCTGCGTCTGCGCCAGTTCCAACAGCGCCAAGTCCTCCCAGTCCCACTTTACCCCCTCACATATCCCAGCCACCTGTAAGTAAACTTTTGTAAATCTTCGTTTCGCTTTCGCGGATGCAACACACATTTGATGAAACGTACTTTCAGATGACTAGTCCGTTGGCAGCAAATCCACGTGCAATAGCTCCGCAACAGCGGCCAGCTTCCCCCGCTCTGCCACCTCCCTCCCTGTCCCAACAGCCTCACACTACGATACCTGCGTTACATACACCTAATGTGCCCCTCGTTTCGTCGAGTCATACAACTAGTCCCGCGGTAGCCAGTTTAGGTGTCACCCCAGCAGCGCCATCAAACGGAGCGACCACCACCAGCTATCCGCCGTCGATACCCATGGCTGCTTATCCACAAACGCAACCGTCTTATCCGCCACTTTATACGCCGTACACTGCTCTAAATCACAGCCCATACCTTCCACCTGCGGTACCGTCTCCTTCCCATTCTGCTTCTTCACGGGCAGAAGTGGTAAGTCACGTATTATTTTCACCTAACCAGGGAAGGACCCCGACTGTTCGACTTCGATTTCATCGAGATTTTCTACAATGATAGTGCACAGTTGTCTTAAGAACACATTTACCAAGAACAATTGAGAAAGTATTTTAGGTTATATTTTTCACTTTTCACCTTCTTTTATATCGAAACGTAACCTCTATCTTGATGGACGATCTTTTCCCATTTATCTGGTAATTTCATTGTCCCACGTCATTATAATTCCTCACAAGGATCACAAAATTCATGACTAATCTGCACGAAGGTTACACTCGGAATGTGACTTGAAGATACTACATGGCGCCACTGTGGCGTAGTCAACTTTGTTGTACAAAATTCATTGACTATGGCAAGAAGGTGACATTTAAGTGAAAGAGAAAAACAAAGGTCGGGAGAAGAATCAACGTAAACATTTTCTATCGAATGTCGAAATTCAGGTTGTTGTCCTTCCCTTGCAAAAAAAAAAAACGAAGTTTAAGAAACACTGATCCAAATAATGGACTTGGATTAAACTTCAGAATTGTAACGAAGATTCTTTCGCAACGCTCCGCCCGAGTGTTAACAACGATACTTTCCGTTTTTAGAGAGGAAGTAGAGCATCTCCGTGCACTAACATAAGTAAACAGCCTGTAGGAAATAATACCACAAATCACAATACTCCACTGAGCGCCGCAACTACGACATGCGTATCCACAATAACTAATACAGTTACTACAGCAAACACCATCGCTCACAGGGATATGGTGTCCTGTAGCTTGACTGGAAGGAACAATAACTCACCCCGTGGGCACAGTCCGAGCCGAGAGAGGGACAGTTACAGGTACACTCTTGTAATCACACGTATCACCAGCGCTCGTTGCAATGAAGGTCTTATTGTAATATTATTTGTTACAGCAGTAACGTGAGTAGCCTAAGTCGAGGTAGCATAACGCCCGTAAGTGTGCCAAACACGTCTTCTCCAGCCAATTCTAGTCTACCTGCTTATTCCAAGCCACAAGGATGGATTGGGTACGAGCAATACGAAACTCTTTTTAATATGTATTTCTATACATAGAGTGGCCCGTAGCATATGTGAAATGGTACACGAGAATGTATGAACAATTATACACTGAAGTATTTTGATAAACTTTAATGTGTTATAACGACTGATTAAAATTGCAGACTAACGTATCTAACCTTTTTAGAAATATAATTTTTTCCATTTGCTTGGGGGACCCTCTATAAAAATATGAACATGTTTATCGACATCTTCTTACAAAATCTATATGGTTGATATTAAGATTTATATGGTTGTGTAATTTGCAGTAGCAACACAACTTCGCAGTTGTCACCGGCGACAGCAACGTCAGTTCCAAGGCCAACACCTCCACCCGTACCATTGGGCATGCATACATTTCCACCGCCGATGTTCGCAGCACCGTTACCGCCACCTGTGTCCAGTTCGAGTCCACATACGTCACTGCCTTCGTTACCGCCGCCAACGACCAATCCCAACCCGTTCTCCGCCGAGTCGCTTTTTCAAACAAGTAAGTTCGCAAACCGCGTTGAAGTTTCACGACTTTGGGATACCGGTGACAGGTACCAACGAACGAGATACTAATTCAAAGTAGGGGTGACTCATGTCGCAGGTCAAGCAGACATGCTAAGGCGAGAGCTAGACAATAGATTCCTGGCCTCTCAAGACAGAAACGTTGGTGTCGGAGTTGGTAATCTGGGACCATCTCCGTACCTCAGGACAGAGATGCACCATCATCAACATCAGCATACTCACGTGCACCAACACACGACGCCTTTGCTTCCACCATCAGCAGCGACCACCCTCTTTCCACCTCCCATTGTAAGTACCTGTAAGGACACGTGAAATTTTAGACAACCAATGATTAGGATAACGTTCACGCATCTATTTCCATTTAGTTCAAGGATATCCCGAAGCTGGGCGGTGTCGAGTCACCGTTTTTTCGTGGCAATTTGAATCTGTCCGGCTATTCTGGCTTTAACGCCGGTCTTTTGCATCCGGGTATTGGACCACCTTCGACTCCTTTCGTACCACCCAACCATCTAACGTCATTTGCACCAAAGGTAAAGGTCTCAAACGTTCATTCCTAAAACAATATAATCCAATAATCTGTGTACTTAAAAACATTCATGGTTTGTATATTGTCTATTGCAGAAGACTGGAAAGTGGAACGCGATGCATGTGCGCATCGCTTGGGAAATTTATCATCATCAACAGAAGCAACAAGCGGAAGCCAAGGCGGGGAACGTCGTTAACACTAAGACGGAACTGCTGAGACCACCTGGACATCTCTATCCAGGGGGACCAGGAGCCGGTCTTGGAATTGGTGCACCTCCAATGGCGCCTCCGTTCCCCACCAACATGCCGCAAGCTCATCCCGCGCCACCTCCACCTCATCCTGTTGGCTTTCTCTCTACACCAGCATCGCATTTAGGTAATTTTTGCGCAACTCGCACGAACACAGTAGTAACACATTTTTATTGCAGGTACGTTCTACTCCGAAACCTGTAAACTATAAATTTGTTTCAATATTTTGGCCCGTACGGTGAATTTCCAGGAATTGTTCAAAACTGTTCATGCATAGAAGAGAACTCGATATAAATTATGAATTATGAAACTTACTATAGGGTACCTTCGACGAAACATTAAGTCAGACGAAGAGTAAGTTGACTGTGTGTTAAATTTGTTACAGGAACAGGAATGTCGCCGTTTGGAAGGTATCCGTCAACGTTTGGTGCACCAAATCCAAATTTCCCTGGTCTCTCCAGTTTTCCACCATCTAGAGAAATGCCGCCATTAGGTGGGTTAGGTTCAGTACACGATCCGTGGCGAGGGTACGTTTCACTTTCAAAAAGGTTCGATAAATTAAATTTACTTACAAGGAGAATGCATGGCCATCGGGTCGTCGATTTAACCGAAACATCGTGCACTGGTTTATCAGCACAATCTTCATGAAAATACATCATTGGTCAGAGAGTTAATATTTTCCAAGTGACTGAGAGGTAGTCAACGCGATGGAACAACTCTGTCTCCGGATTTGAGACTAGGAACACCTAGGACAACCCTGCACGAAGCTTCGGTTGAATCGACGACCCGAAGATCTTACACTCTCCTTGTTAGCTATCTATGTACTATGCCTGACAAACTAACGGATCTGTTCGACAAATTTCTAGATTGCAACGAGCCTCGACCGGGTTTCCTCCGACCACCGTCGCGTGGAGCCTGAAGCCGGAACCGCCGGCGATCGATAGACGGGCAGAGCTCGAGGAACGGGAGCGCGAGCGCGAACGTGAACGCGAACGCGAACGGGAACGGGAACGCGAGCGCGAAAGGGAACGGGAGCGTATCAGGCGCGAGAAGGAGAGGGAACGGGAGGAGCAACGGGAGCGCGAGAGACGGGAACGGGAGAAGGAAGAGAAGAGGAAACAACAGGAGGCCGCGGAGAGGGAGAGAGACAGGAGGGACAAGGAGCGTCGCGAGATGGAGAGACGGGAGATGGAACGGGAGAGACTGATGCATCAGAATCGTCAGCACGTGGTGGTGGGTAGGGAACGGTCGCCGATGAGGAACGGCTCGGCGCCCATGGACGGCAGCGAGGTGCGCGTGAAAGAGGAGCCGCGGAGCAAGGACGACGAGGTCGTGATGCTTCCGAGGCCACCGGGTCCAGGGCCGGGTGGCGCGTCGGCGACAGGGCCCGGACCAAGTCCGTTGCCCGACGCCAGGTACCATCATCCTCATCCACACTCGTACCTCGCGAGGCATCCCCATGGGATGCCAGCGCCGCACTCCATGCCGCGGAGCATGCTTCCCGGGCTGGGCGCGCATCCGATGCAACACTTCCCGCCGCCGTCGGGACCCACCGGCCAACCGGGCGGCCCGTGGCCCGGCGACCCGTTCCGGGATTATCGCTACGACCCGTTGCAACAGCTGCGCTACAATCCGCTGATGGCCGCCGCGGCGTTCCGCGCCGAGGAAGAGGAAAGGGCCAAGCTGTACGCCGGTTATCCACCACCACCTGTGAACGCACTGAGGGGCAAGGACCCGAGTCCCGGGCCGCTCAGCAATTTACACATGCATCACAGAGCGGGACCCGGGCCGGGAGTACCGACGCGACAACTGGACCCTGGACTGATGCACGCGGACATACACAAGAAGGAGGACGCGTCCCAATCCCGATGATACATCCTCCCTGCGTCCTCGGCTTCTGCGAGCGAACGCACCAAAGGGTCAGCATTCTGAGCATTTGAGTAAAAGGATCTCCATTATTCCGCCCTCTCCCCTACCTCCCCTGAACCACGCCCGTTCCTTTACCCTTCCCCTTCCCCTTCCCCTTCCCCTTCCCCATACCCTTACCCTTACCCTTACCTCTTTCCCTACGGTGCTGATACTTTGCTAACGGAGAAGAGGCGTTATTTAAAAGAAATTGTACATAGATTATATAATATTTATAGTTATCGATGGAAAGTGCGAAGGAAGAACAGGAAACCGTGTAGAACATTCGATGAAACGCACTACCGTACGACGATCGTTAACGAAGATGCCTTGCTCGCGATCGGTAGGGCTCGACCGTCCGCGCGAACCAAAATGGCGTCGACGGCGGGCGAAGTAACTTTCACATTCGCGTTGAATGCCAAACCGCGCAAGGCATCGATTGAAAAGAAAAAAAAAGATTAAAATAATTTGTGTCGCGAAACGAACGAAACAATGACAATGACGTTTATTTGTGATTCACTGCAAGTTTCGGGGATCTGACTGTTCATAGCGGTATAAACTTTAATCATTACGATAACTATGCGTACAGTTTAAACAAACAAAAAAATAATAAAAAAAGTATCGTGTGTAATATTATAGATATTGTAGAATGCGAGACGATGCTACCGTAAAGAAGAAAAAAACACAAACAGAAATTCAAGTTGAAGAGGAAAAAAAAAAGATTATTGCGGATCTCTAACCATTACTCGAAAAAAAGTTATTTAATTATTTATTTATTGCGAGCGTATAAACGAATCTCTACCTACTGACGTACGGATACGATCGTAAGAAACAAAAAAAAAAAAAATAATAATAATAATAATATGTTGCCCTAATTTAATCGATATAATATAACGAAGGTTACGTATGAATTTTCATTTTCTTCATAGAGGTTAATTTGTACCGTAGGAATTTTTTAATAGCGAACCGAGAGGGCAGAACCAGGTACCTTTGGCTTTTGACAGCACAAGCTTGCTTCTCCCCTGATTTGCATGGAGACTAGAATTGCACTCTGGTGCTTTCCTGTGATATAAAAAGTAAGATCGTTCAGAAGCATTGCAATTGTTTTTCACACGTAATTTGTAAGTGACCGAGTATGACGGACGCAAGGCGTAAATCAAATTCTTGGACAAATTATAAAAAGGGAGAAAAAAGAAAAAAAGAGAGAGAGAAACGGAAACGACTCGCGTTTTCAAGTTTTGCAAAAAAAGGAGAGAGAGAGAGAGAGAGAGAGAGAGAGAGAGAGAGAGAGAGAGAGAGAGAAAAAGAGTATGAAAAGAAAAAAAATGTATATTTATCGGGAAATACGGGATTTGCGAGTGAACAAATACAAAAGCAGTTTGTCCGTGCCAAAGTGCTTTAATCAAAAACATTTAACGCTACGTAGAAAAATTGCAACTTCTGATTTTGTATCTTTATCAAAAATTTAAGAAACAAATATGGTTTTCCACCACACTGTTTCGTCGTCCTCTCAATTGTCAACCATGTGTATACAGGGTGTTTCGATATTCACGGGCGTAACTTCAAAGAAAAATGCAGTACGTACGTTTAGATAAAGAGAAAAGTTTCTATAAACATATTCCCGGTACAATCTTGTTCCCGAGTTACAGCTGTTTTTATATTATTAATTATTTTTTATAGAAAATGCATGCTTCCTTTAACCTCGTTGTCATTTTTCAATAGTTTACTAAAAAATTTTATTGTCATTTGTAAATAAAAATCCAACGGATTTGGATCAGATTGCCTCTTCATGATCAAATTCATTGTGGTTTTTCAACTTTGTCTACTGATACTTTGTAAAGATTTCAATTATTCCCCACACATGAAAATCTACCCAAATTAGCCAATTGATTGGACCCCCTTGAATTTTTGAATGAAAAGAATCTAAAAAAAAAAAACTGCTTCAGCTCAAAAATAAGATCATATCGGGCGTATGTTTACGAATTTAAGAAGTTACGCCCATGAATTTTGAAACAGCCTATATATATATATATATATATATATATATGTACGTATATATACATAATATACGTCTTCACGTTACCAGAGAGCCAATTCGAGATCTCTCTCAAAAAGAATGTTCGTGCCATGGACCAGGCTAGAATTCGACACACTCTGGTGCCTCTAAAATAAAAGAAAAAGAAATAATAATACATACTTCTGTCGAGTAAATCAGGCTCTTGAACTGTTTCGTTTATACTTGTAAAGTCATCATAAAAAAAGTGTATATTATTATATAATTAACGACCATACGCAATTCAAAAATTGTAGATATTTTTCATCGATGCAAGGTTGCAATGTGATGCAATGGTTCTGTTCTTGTAGATATCGCGAAGTATAAAAGAGGATTTTGTGTGAATAGGTTTTTTCTAAAATTGATTCTTTGTAAAAGGGTCTAATAATCATAGTTTCTATCAAACCTGTCTCTTCTAGTACTTTTACCAAGCCTTTGAAACATCTTACACAGCTCATAAAGACATCAGAAAAAAAAAATGGCATCGATGATCGGTCGATAAATACTACACACTGGGTACGCGTTACGATAACAAAAAAAAAACTGAAAAATATATTAAATTCGTCTTTCTACTTTGTTTCCTTTTTTTTTACGAAATAACGCTCACATCACGCACGTACTTAGTAGTAAATAATATTTCTTCTGAAGTCTTCATGTCATATTTAATACTGTCGAGTGACAAAATCTTTTAAATACATATTTTGTTTATTGCCCGGGGTCAGCGGCCTTCAGGTACCAATTAACTGCAATATATTTTGACACGTGTGAAATTGATATATTTGAAAGAAGCGGTACTTGCGTAGATCGCGGAACGGTGCCTCGTCGTCGTGAAACGTGAATAGCCGCGAACACCGTCGCGGACATGTCTATAAATTGTTTCGAGTGCTTACACTTCCCAGTCATGTTCCAAATGAGTTCGGTAAAAATTGTTTTTGCTTAATATATTAAAACGACCGACCAGGACGAACTGGCGTTTTGGTCAAGTTCAGTTCTTGGTTTGTATATACAGAGATTGCTATCGGGAGCTGCTCGAGCTTGATCTCGTATAGCGACGATGTCGGTGACGTGGATTGTTCGGTGGACTTCGCGATCGTGTCCTCGGTCTGCGTCTGGGCGGACGCGGGCTCCTACGGCGGTTGATCGGCGGCGAGCGTCTACGATAACGCGGAGGTGTGTTCCGACCACCGCCGCTCCACCTCGGTGGCGCTCTTCTTCCCATCAGAGGTGACATTCGACGCATAGGTAACGGTCGTGGCTTTGGTAATAATACTGGGGCAGCAGTGATTTCCTGACCGTCTATTTGTCCTGCAAAACGGTTTAAATGGTACCAGAGAATCAACGAAATCAAATGTGAAACGAATTGTACGTTAATTGCAGGTCTTACGGAAACCGACCAAAACTTTCTTTTTCTCTACGCTACGTTCGATACAAAATCTTAGTTTCAAAAACTAATCAATTTGAACAGATCTGTATGTACTCCTTTATGAAGAAAGTCTCATTTAATCGACATATAAATATAACGGGTGTTAGACCACCTCAGGGAAAAATTTTAATGGTGGATTCGGGAGGCAAAAATAAGACGAAAATCAAGAATACCAATTTGTTGATGGAGGCTTTGTTAAAAAGTTAATAACGTTTGAAGCTTCGCCCGTAGAACGGCGCGTGATAGTTCTCACATGCGAAACTTTAAACGTTGATAACATTTTAACGTAGCCTCCATCAACAAATTGCTATTCTTGATTTTCGTCTTATTTTGGTCTCTAGAATCTCCCCTTAAAATTTTGTAAGGTTAATCGTAACGCATTGTACAATTCGTTTGCACTTACTCGGACATCAATCGTTAACAAAGACGGAACGACTAGTAGTGTTATTCATTTTGTCACTTACCACCATCCATGTGTTTCATTGCATTCTCCGCTTCGTCCGCTGTTTCAAACTCTACGTACGCGAATCCTCGTCCTTGATTAGGATGCAGCTTGTCCATAGTAAAATCGACCATCTTGATCTGACCATACGTGGAAAAGATTTCCATAATATGTTCTTTAGTGACATTGCGAGTCAGATGTCCAATATGTATTTTCGTTGGTCTGGGAATAGGTGACCTTTCTCTGCGTTTCCTACGCGGCGACGGCGATCTGTAAACAACAAGAACAACAGAAAGAAATAAAAGAAATTGCAAGATTCGATGATGCTTTGTCCCCCCGTTCATCGCGCTGATGTATATTTACCTAGATCGTCCTTTAGGTTTTGGTTTGTCGATCACAGAATTGCTACTTTTCTTTTTGTCTTTCTCCCTGTCTCTGTCTCTGTCCCTGTCCCTCTCACGTTCTCTTTCTTTCTCCCTTTCCTTCTCTTTATTGTCGTGTCTGCGCGAGGCGTCGACGCTTTTGCTTCGACTGCGTTTCCTTCCTCGGTCTCTGGAGCTCGCTGATGAACTTCCAGAGCTGCTGGAGGAGCTGCTGGACGTGGAGCTCGATCTCGAACTGCTTCCGCTACTCGTCGACGATGATCCGGAGCTGCTATCCGAGGAACTATAAATATCTCGAATTAACCAATAAACAATGTCGAATTTCTACAGTACATAACGTTCTTTCGCCATATTTTTCACTAAAGCCATTTTCGAACTAGTACCTCAAACTATAAGGAACCATTTTTAAACTGAATTACCGAATCATCTCACAAAATTGAATCTGGTTTAAGAAAAGATGCTACTGTAATGTTTAGGTCTTTTTTTATAAATTTTTAATAAAGAATTATACCTTTGGAATATGTCGAAATTTTTTCAAAGTAAAATAAATAAAAGTTCGAAGTAATTTTATTTGTACAGTCATACCCTGAACTTGCGTAATAATTGCTTCCAGAATGATTGTTTATATATATATATATATCAATATTGTATTAGGTTAAGAAATAGGTTTCCCATTCTTTAATAACAGCAACAAAGTAAATGATGTTTAACCCATTTGCTGCCAAGACAAGTATACTCGTCCTACTTTTAATATGTTATAACTTACAGGCTTTCGAATAAGCAAATTTCTTGTGCCCACAAACGTAAATATACAAATATAAAAAAATTGTAAAAAATGTTACGAATAAAATTTATTACAAAAATTATGCATCAATTATTATTTAAAGAGAATGATCTTTTACAGATTTAAATTAAGCAAAACTTCATCGGGTGTTTCTAACAAAATTTTGTAGCAACACAATCACATATTATCTTTATGATAAGATTTGTAACAAAGCCCAATACACAATGGAGATTTATCAGGACAGATTGGACAGTAATATCGAGTCTCCTTGCAAATGTTTTTCGTTGCACGAACTCTACATCTGCGAGTTGGGTTTTTCTTTTCTGGTCTAGGAGGAATAGCATCGAGATAACGAAGGGAATTTTGTTCCTGGGTTATGATTAACATAGATGGCAGTGATTGAATGATCGCATCTTGGCTTTCGTTTAGCAAATATCGTATAACCTCTTCTCTAAATCAAAGAGATGTTTTATTTTCTACATTTGGTCGCTGATGATAAAATTTGTATGCATTATGCGTACAACTAGTTTTTTATACCAACGAAGAGTCTGAACAGAACTTCGGTAAACAATACTGCTCAAAATATAAATAGCAATGGGAGTAGCTTCGTATAATATAGTCTTGGCAGCGAATGTGTTAACGTACAGAAATTATATGAAATGAAACACGCGAACTTTGATTATTCTAACAAATGTTTATCGTGTAGCTATTAGAATCTGGATAAGTGTTAAGAAGCTGTAAATCAGGGTTTGACTGTACGAAATTTTGCCCGTCTCTGTTTCCAGTCCGGTAGGTACGGTCTGTCCAAGAAAATTTCCAGTATCTTACCTACTGCCACTACTGGACGAGGAAGCAGCGCGTTTCTTTCTTTCTCTTTCTCTGCCTCTTTCCCTCTTGTTCTCTTTGTCCGTAGCTTCAGAGTCGCTTTTACCCGTGCTATCTTTACGGCTGCGTGCCCTGTGCATGCATGAAAACACCCGGTAGCAAGGTTAAAATCGTAACAAGAAACCGATCAACGAAGAGGAGAAAACTAAATTCACGTTACTTACATTGTAAGATTACGCGAACCCTCGGGTTCCAAACGCGAGTATTGGCTCTGTAAACGAAAGAAAACCTTCGTTGAACGCTCTGGTGAACGCCAATAATGGCGGACCGTGCCGCTAAAAAATCGTTGTTTTTTTCACTGAACCAAGTTACGAATTGCTGGCGAACTAACGAACGGTACCTCGTGGAAATTACGCGCGTTGAACGCCGACGATCGAGAACTTTTATTTCATCGTCGGATCCATAATAGAATAAACATGTGAAGTTTACGAACGATACGAAACAAAATTACCAATAGAATGACGCGGCGCTTGCGTCGCTATTCCCGCCTGGTTATGGCCCATATCACGCGATCGTAAACCTCAGAAAATCTGTTCGCAACGCGAAACACATCCATTTTCGAAAACGTTATCGTTATCGTTTCTCTTTCAATTGAACGTATCTGTAGAGATACCATATGGCACAAGGCACTATCGTGTGATTTTATTACACGTCGTTTGGACCTAACGTTGAAAATAAAAGCGAACTTTAGGATCGCGAGTATTACCTTTTAGAAATTTCTGCGAAAATTAAATTCATACACGACTATTAACTTTTCTCGATGACTATCCGCGCATAACCTGGTAGAATAGTTGTTACTAATATCTTAGGTTCGAAACGATGCTCGTAAAGGTATGGTTTTCATGCGACCAGTTTTTCGATAATTTTCATGCAGTTAACACTTTGATGGCCGCTGTCACGTATACGTGACTTTGCAAGCTAGCAGACGTTGGCCACTGTCACGTATACGTGATCTACGGTATCAATCACCATTTTCATCATACATTCAACTTATTACGTTTGTTGAGGTTACATTTATAATTCCTTATAATAATGTTCCTAGCATCTTCGTGTATCTCATTTTGTTCTACAATATCAGTGGTTAAGCGTTATACGACATTTAATTGCCTTTAAAATGGCATAGAGTAATTTCAGCATTTGGTCATGTTACTCGTGAGATTATACAATTTTTTAACAGAAAAACTGTCATGATAATATCGTGACAGTTTTGATGTAAAAACCATAATGCATCATCGTAACGACAGTGGATTTTCTGTTACAATTCTTTACTAGCGATGAAAATCATCAAAGATTGAAAAGTAACCAAAGTAACTAGAATCTAGTTACTAGATAAATACCATGGCATTGAACTACAACGTAAAAATGATTGTCAGTCTCCAAAATCCACAACAAAAGTTGTGATTTCTATCGTCACATGAAAACGAGTCTGCAGGCTTAATAAGGCTGGTTATAATCACTTTTACGAACGCTCTGAACGGTGGCGCGCTTTTCAAAACTGTTTCACCGAACGAGATTTACAAGTTCATCCAAATAATCGATCAACGCATACTCTAGATTCAAATAACCAATGGAGGGCGATCGGTTTGTATTTCATGGGTTTTATTTCTGTAGATTGCTGCAGCGATACGTAAGTACCGAAATGTATATGTATGTACATTTAAGTGATAATAACGAGCAATATTTATGTACAAGTACACCGAATTATAAACACTAAACATTCGTCACACCTTACACATAATTCCTCTAGAAACCAATTTCATTTTTAATGTCGTACCAGTCCTTTGTTTTATTTTGTCAAAGTACTCTTTTCATTTTTTTTTTATGTAAAACTACACGATCGGAGTGGAATATGGAAAATTGTATGTTTCCCTGTTTTGGCACAGCTCGTTACGAAGGAGAAAAATAATACGTGTAATCGAAGGAGAAAATAAAAAAACGGACAGCGTTGGAAGAAATATCTCTAACGGTAGCAGCGTGTCTCTTTTGTGTACCAAATACCTGTCGAGGACTCTCGTCGAGGAAAATGCTTTCTATTCGGTTTAGCTTGGGGAATATTCGATGTTCGATAAAGCCTTTCTCTAGCTGAACGATATGTGTACTATTTAACAATAATAATTCGATTATCGATTTGTCGCAAGGTAAAGTGGGGCACGCAATTATTTTACGGTTACCTTACGCAATTAGTCATTAAGCCTGCATAAATTGGTAATATTGGTCTCGCATACAAATACATAATACAGAAACCGACATGCAATTTTTAAAAGCGGGGTATATTACAAACTTAACAGTAGCGGTAGATATATCAATAAATTTATGCAATGTATATGTTACAAAATTGTATCCCCCCCTTTTCATTCGTTACTTTTTTTCCATTTTTTTTTCTTCTTTTTTTTTCATCTTACTTTTTTTTTTAACAAAGTCCATTGTTCTCGTATATGTATTATTTACTTCTCTTCTATTACCAAGTGGAACATCCGTCACTGTAAACATTTGAAACGCTGGTCTGCATATTTCTGTTTCGTCGTCTAATACTCTAAGAATTCTCATGGTATACATTCGTCGCATGCGCACACGCCTCATATTCGCATCCACGCAGTCGTCTCTCTCTCTCTCGCTTATCCCATTAGCAATACGTTTCTTTGTTTTACTTGGTAGAAAATCAATCGATCGTTATTAGTGGTCACATCGATAAAATCATCATCCATAACAAACAATTGAAATCATTATAAAGTCTTATATTTATTATTTACGTATAAATATTGTTAAATATATATATATGTATATTAAAAATTTGCTACACATTTCACGATTATTTTACACAGAATTCGTTATTCTATCCTGATAATGACTTAAATCGATTAAGTAACTTTTTTTTTTTCTCTCTCTCTTGTTAACTAGACACGAACTCTTCTCGCATCAACGAAGATAGGAGACTATACCAAAGCGAGACTCGATTTTGATCCTGTTGGTTCATTCCCTCAAAAAAAAAAAATAGACAAAAAAAGAGAGAAAAAAGACGGAAAGAAGAAAACAGAACGCTGTGGCGATCAGAATCGAGCCTCGAGATTCACGCAAGGATAACCCCTATGTTCTTTGTTACACGTCAGAATTATGCATTCGATAAAGAAGAGCGAAACGAAAGGAACGGTATTAATGAACCGATGCTGCGCTTCTAGAAATTGAGTCACGACGTCACGGTATAAAAATCTAAACTGACCTTACTGTGTACTAAAAAATAGAATTGTTTTCCGCCAAGCGAGACAAGCTCGATTCGTCATCGGTTATCATCGTCGTCAGCAACAACAAGAATGCCGCTCGGCGATTCTATCTCTACGCGTTCGGATTTACTTTCGTTGACAGTCTCGTGACTCGATTACTTCGATCGTCAATCGGTCCGAACGTCTCTGTTAACCCCCCCTAACCCCGCCCCCTCCACAGAAATAACATGGACAGGTTTCATGTGGCGCCACTCGGCGAACAAAAACATTATTCCCGACATCGCGGACGCACCAAGAAGCGATCTCTGCTCGATAGCTATGTTAACAGGGACAGACAGATTCGAATGATTTTGTAGTTTAGATACATCTATAATACTGAATCTATCTATATTCAATTCTTAGAACAGGCGACGATAACTTGATAGATTGTATTCTGTGGAGATCAAATGTCGACATTCGTTTGCACTTTCTGTTCATTCATGATGTCTACTGTTAACGTCTTAGGCAAGATGCGTCACTATGGTGGCTCACTTGCTCACCGTTTTAATCAAATGATCGTTTTCACATGTTTTGTTTTACACTCTTTTTGCCTTCATAGCGTTTTATAACAGTGTTAACAATATACAGACGTGATATACAATCATCAAAAAACTTCATTTCAATGTTTACGCGTTGAAATTCGCATTGAACTCCATCGTACAGAGAAACAACTTTACGCAAAATTCAGTCGTGCCTAAGAGGTTAAATACTGCTGTAACTCGTGTTCGTCGTATCATCGAATACCAAACACGCTATTTTGAGTTCAATATTAAATTAATAAGAAATACTTATATTCAGTTTTATCAACGAACAGAAAATCGTTGTTTCAATAGTGTGTATATGATACTAGGTGTGATGCATGTCCTCCAGTTTATAAATTTTCCAGAATTTTTTAAAAATATTTACAAACGTATGATTTTATTAGATTTTTTTTTATTATAATAAATTAGCATTTCTTATAAACGATGAAACAGATTCATGAATTTTTGTATAGAGTTACATTAATTTTTATCCTCAAAAATATTTGATGCTTTCTAGATTCTTTTTATATTTCAATAAACAATGAATAGATAATTGTATTGGTAAATCTATATATTGTAAAGTATTTGTAAGGGTACAAAAATAAAGTAATTTGTTTCTATAAAATTTAAAAAGACAAACATCGCATCAATATCATATACACAACTATAGACTGCGTATGCATTATTTGTTACTTAAATTAAAATTCACTTAATACTGAAACTGAATAAAGTATTCTGCGTTTAGTCAACAGCTGAGTATGAAAGACTGATATATTTGACAGCCACCGATCGGACAATTACGAGATATCTGTGTAGTTTGTGTTCGACGATGGAGTCGAATAAAAATATTCTGTGGTTGTACAGCCACAGAATATAGTATGCAAATACTTTCATCCGAGTGGAAACAGAATACAAATTAGTAAGATAATCGTCGTTCGAATACTTTCTAAAATACATTTTGTTCAATCCCGTGCAACGGTCGACGACGAACTGTCTCTCGCGCAGCTACCTTGCGCACACGCGACGTTCGAACGAGGATCGCTTCTCGATAGGGGGCGCCAGTGCGTCCGCGACGTCACGACAAGTCTTTTTGTTCCCGAGTGTACATCGAATCTAAAACGTTTCTCTTTTCGAACAACGACTAAACGAAAAAAATATTCCTAATAACGTGACATGACAGTCTTGCTCTGACAACAGACTCCGGCGCTGAACCGAATCTGCACGTTCCTGTTTCCACGCATTCAACGCGAATCGAGCCTTAAACACCACTCCTCGTGTCAGACGACTCGTAATGGAAAATAACTGGACACCGAAATCTCAGTTTCACGCGAACAAATCGCCTATCGTTTACAATTCCACATTGAATACATTCGAACATATCATTGTCTATAACGAGGACAAACTCTTTTACGCGTCGGTGTCCCCCTTGTCCCTTCGGGGAAACGATCGGCATCGTTCCGCGTAATCTCGACAGAGTATATACAGGATGTACCAAAACTAATGATCCAAACTTTGAGCACGTACAGTGCTCATAAAATACATAAGTAAAAAAGGGGTGAATAAACATGGATCTAGAAATCGATAGTTTCAGAGTTACAGGACTAATTTGTATCTCATCCCAGTAGACGTTCTAAGTGTCCTCTGCCTATTTCGTTGAGGTTCGATCGAGAATCCGCGTAATACTAATCAAAGTGAACAAAATTCAATGGTATCCGGCGTTACGAGAGATCACGTGGGGTCAACGTTGTCGTGTAATAAGATTTCTCGTTCCAACTCAAAGTTTGGACCATCGGTTCCAGGCAAGCCCAACATGTGCACGTGTACCGTGGATCAGCATTTGGACCGGAAGAACTTGACGATACCACGGTCGTGTTAATATCGCTTCGACATGGGAACATCTAGCTGCATCGTGGACGCTCGAGTTGCGTGGGCGTCGTCGCATGAATTCAGACGGATATCTCGTAAGCGGCGTACGCTGTTCTGTCCTCTTTGGAACGGGACACGCGCAGTGTCGGCAATTCTTGTACAATCTCCGTCCAGCCGCAGGATGGCGCGGAGACCGTAAAGCTGGGCTATACGGATATCTCATAGTTCATGTCGTAGACACTCGCCCGGTCCGGGGTGGGCGTGGTGGGTCGCTGGGATCTGTTGTCGTTCGGCGCCGACACCATCTCCATGGAGTCCGTCATCTCCAGCGCTCTGACGAAAGACATGGGTCTGCGCCGCGTGTCGCCCGACGTGGGCGTGGTGGGCGTAACCATCGCCGCTTTTCGCTTCACCTGAGGCGACTGGTGCGGCGGGAAGACCGGTACGCCGCCTCTCATCGCGGGATGGTACGCTGACCTGGGCGCGTTCGCGTACAGCTGTTGCGTGGGGCTGGTGGGATTGGAACGATAATAGTCGTACGGCGGCGGTGGTCTCTGGGAGGGCGACTGGTGGGTCGCGACCGTGTTCGTTTGACCCGGCGGTATCGGGTAGCTGCCCGGCGAGTTGTCCTTCCACATGTAGACACCTCGCTGCGGCGAGCCAGCCAGCTCGCGTATGTTGTCGACGGTGTTGTTGGTCCTCGAGTACGAGTGGTCGACGCCCTGACGGACCAGCTCGCTCTCCGAGAGGAAACGCCGCTGGGGGCTGTAACCGGCGACGACGGCGCCGCTAGCAGCGCCGGCACCGGCATTGTTACCCTGCTGTACATCGTAATATGTCGGCGCGTCGTTCACTCCTATAAAATCCGGCCGACGTACCTGCGTCGGCGTACCTGGGTTCGATCTGCAACAAGCGACACATACGGTCAGCAATGGAACTTCTAGCGCTAACCGCGTCTTTTGATATCTCAATAACTGACAAATGCACAGTACAGTGAACCAAGATGAATATACAGGGTGCGATGAAACTTCGGAACGTTTTCGGAAAAGGGACTCTTTTTTACAACTTTGTGTAAATTGCACGTAATGGTCAAGACGGTAACAACGAAAGTAAGGTTATGTTTGTACGTTATCGATGGCTAGCATACCATTTCTAAAAATTCAGACTCGACGACTGAAATTTTTAAAAAAAGTTAGACTTCCTGTTATTTTAGACCTTGTAGATTTTTGCTCGATACAGATAACATTTTTAGCCGTGAAGAGTAATCGATTGTGGTATTGGGAGTACCACGTTCGTGCAGTGCCTTTCACAATGTCAGCGTATCTGTGTAAATATCGAATCGCGACGGGAGAACAATACAGAAATATATGGTAACCTGTTCCGTATTGTTCTTCCATCGTAAAAAATATACTCACGTACGTTAACAATTTAATGCTAATTGGGAGAAAGAACGGTTACAAATAAAGTGTAAAACTTTATCGACAACATTCAACAATCTCAACTCGACGTTTATTCTGCAAAATGTGTAACGAAACAATAGAGATCCGAACTTCTCTGCAACTAGCCGACATCTAAAACCAAAACAGATGCATACAATGCGCATACCATTAAATAGACAATCGCATAACGAGTCAAACAACTATGAATATATATACAAAAAGAAAACAAAAAAAAAAAGAAGGTTTGTTCGAATGACAATCAACATGAAAAACACATTCCAAACTTTTATCGCACCCTGTATATATATATATATATGATATATATATATATATATATATATGCGAGTGCTGAGCATTGTAGCCATACAAATACGGCTCTGGCGAGACATACAGGAGAGAGAGAGAACAGCGCATCATTCCTGTTATAAAATTAGCATCTATCCAAGAGTAACGTAAAAAGGTATAGCAAAACCTAAGGAAATACATATGTGGACGTTTATACTTGCGTGTTGGACGACTGATACATGTGTAAAATATATGTATATATGCGTATATATATATATACATATATATACATATATATATATATATATATACATTCGAGTATATATGCTTCTCTTTTATATATATATGTATGTAATGTATGCAAGAAAGCGTAACTTTAAACTACGATATGTCCTCGTAGGATGAAGTTCGTGTTTACCTGCAGTAGGTTGCAACATGATGGTAGAAAGCAGCTCCTTGCAGTTACCACCCCCTGCAGTGGGACACAAACTTATCTATATACCACATATCTTGTAATATATACATGCAGAGAAACTAATTCTCTACGATATTAACGTGATCTACAATCGCGCAACGATTTTTGCCTCTTTTCCTTTTTCTTTTTTTTGTTTTGGATTTTTTTTTACATATTCCGTCGTACTGTCGTTCCTCCGTCGTTCAGAAGGTGGAAGATATATATATATATATATATATATATATATATATACATATATGTATGTATATATATAGTGGTGAGAGTAAACAGGAAGAAAAGAATAAGAGCAAGAGTGAGGTGTTCATAGTGAGGGATACAGGGAGTCCGAAGTAAACAGGCTTCACATCATATCGAGAGGTAGCAAACAGGAACATCGAATAAAGGAGATCACAAGTTCACTTTGTATTGGCGGCGTGCTCGATAAATGCAATGTAACTAGTTACTAGTGTGGCGCTTCCCTCTTGCTCTCTACGTAGAAACAAATATTCAGTGCACTGTGAAAAAACGTCGCGAGGTACAATTACAAAAAGGAAAAAAAAAAAATAGAAGAGAATGGTACATTCTAAAAAAAAATCTTATCCTCCACAATTGTATCTCGAGCGTTCACGAAGTTTTTTTTTTTGTCAAGATCGTACATCTTACTATGCTTGCTGACCTTATCTCGAGATATTATAGAGGCGACGCGCAAGCATCGGCGCATAGCGACATTTGGAACAGAACTAATTGTACGCGGGAGAACAAAAAAGTCATTGCAAACGTTTCGTTTTAGGTTAGTTTAGGTTAGTACCGTGAAAACTGTACGAACACCGATTTTACAAGTAGTTTCGTTTCGTGAATCGCTTCGTGTCGATACTTGCGTTCGACACTGTTACGTTTAAATATATCCGTTACAATTTGTTCAAATCGTTTTAATATGGAAAGCATAGCGTACCTGCGCATAGGACTGGGAATGGCAAGCGGAGTCGGTACTCCAATAGCTTTGATCCGTTGTGTCGTTGGACTAGCGCCCCCTTGGCTCTGACCTCTTTGGGAAGCTGTGGCGGGCGATCCGCTCACTTCCGGCGACAATGGGTCGGGCGTGTGGCTTCGGGAGCCGTTCATTCCCCTATAGGTAGTGACAACGTACCTTACGTGTATTAGAAAAGACATTAGCAAACGTAACATCATTTGCTGTCGGTTGTTTCTATTACCTTGGCCTTGGATGAGGACTGCCTCTGGTGTACTGCATTGGATGGCGGTGCTGCGACGGCGGTGGATGCCTGGGAGACTCGTTGTTCTCCACAGGTGGCAGGAAGAAATTGCTTTTGGAGCCGTGTCTTTGCAACGGAGGCGTCGGCTCGCAATCAGCGGACTGGGATGCGGTGGGCTCCATGTCCGTGTCCGAACCATCTCGTCCAGGGGACAACTAAAACCAACAAAGACCATGATATCATTTCGGTTCAAAAGATCGCTTAACATACCTTATCAAATTGTTATAACACGCTACTATATATATCAGTGTTTCTCAAACGTAATCCTCCCACGTACCCCATATAGTAAAATTAAATTATTATTTTCTTAACGCGATTCGAAGCTGTGTTTAAAGAAACTGCATTTAAAAACGGTTTAATATCTTTTAACAGTTCCAAATCTTGTCGCTAGGGCCGCATCGATCACCGGCGACCGACACTTGGACGCACGCTTGCTACCAATGAACCCTAATGCTTATAACCTTCTAACGTTCAAACATTTACGACATCCAGAATACTGTGAACTAACAATTACGTTATCGAAATTTGAACGTTTCTAGTTTTTACGCAGTGACAAACGTTTGAGGATAGATCAAAAGGCTTCGAGGGTGCCTAGCGTGAATGGAAAGGCACAATAAACTTTGCTCTCTTTTTTTTCATTCCCAGGACTCACGAACACGTGGGAGTTTCTGGACTACGGTTTCAGAATTACTGATATATACATAATGCGTGTTTCTCAAGGATACTGACGTTTAACCAGGATGGGTAAGGGGCAGGGAACTAAACAGATGGTGATTGCGTCTTTTCAGCATTGTGAACAGGGTGTTTACAGATAGGAGGAATCGTTGCTTGATATTGTACTCTAAATAAATAAACTTAGTATTAAAGAACGTAGGCGCGAGAACTGTAATGATCGTGCGAGAAATGTCATTTAAATGTACCAACGTGCACTACACTTGCAATTTACGTTATACATCTACCAAGAAGCTTTGAAGCACAGGGAAGGAAATTACGGAAGCCAATGGTATCGCACCCGCTACACACAGCCGGTAAATCGTACATCGAGGAAGCGTCAAAATTTCATTCCAGAAAGGAAGTGCTATTTACAGTCGTAAAATCTTCTTGTACGTAGTGTCAGAAGTATCAAGCGAAGTTGCACTAGCTCTTACCTTATTGTAAGCATTTGAACTGGCATTTCTAACACCATTGCTGCTATCCATGTAGGTTTTTACCTGGTTCTCACTGCCTATAGTCGATATCTCAGATGTACAAGCTCCGCGACGTTTCCCTGAATACTTTTCAGGCTTAATTAAACTGAAACAACACAGATTGCCTCGGTTAGTCGTCGATGCCGGGTACGGTTGAAAGTTTATGACAATTGGCACATTACCTGGGGTACTGTGGTCCAAATTGCGTGTAACAGCAATTGTGCAAGCAACCACGGGAAAAAGGATTGTAGCCTCCGTTAAATTTACCCGTTACCTGTTCGTTTGTCGTACGTCCTCTGGAAACAAGTATTACGTGAAAGCCGGTCAGTCCAAATATTGGAATGAACAGAAGTATAACCACTCCCATGAGCACGAGTCTGTTTAGTGATGTAAGGATCGTATCGTCGCATCGCTACGTAACATCTGTTCGATTAATTTAGATGTAAAGGATACGCGATAATCGTGTCCACTTCGCCCAGCTGTTGCTTGCGCTCCAATACAAAATACAGGCAAAGTCCAAATATACTGATCATGTGAAAACTGAGCGACAACAGAAAGAAAAAGAAGAATCTGTAGTTCCTCCTACCGATACAGTTGTTCACCCAAGGGCAGTGATGATCGAATGTCTGAAAGCGGGCAAACGAAAGCAGTGAATATCATGATTTAAGAACGTTCAAATCGCACGAGCTACAAACCTCGATGCACTGGTTGCAAACGCTGCAATGCGAACAACGCGGAGGTCTGTAGAACTTGCACGTGACACACCATTTCATGCGCACCGTAATGCCATTGATTTCTACACTTTTATATAGAGGTGCATGAAAATCGTCGTCTCGATCTTCGTCGGATGGTGCTATAAAAAACATATGTATGCTTTAACAGAAGTTGTGCTCCATATATGGGTTCAACGATCTTGTCATTTTACACACTGATGTACCTTTTGGTATAACACCCGGATCCATGAACGTTGCTAGCGTAAAGTTTGCCAATACGAAGAAGGTGATGACTCCTTGTAGCGCAGGTACCCACGTTCCCCATCGGAACACATAATACTGGCATCTGAGGGACAGAAAGCAAACTGACACGGTGAGACGGTTGCATTGCCAAACTGGAGCAATGTTTGGTAAATGATAACAGGAGAGCCGTTGCGGCCTCTCACGAGAGAAGAGGACAGACGTGCGTGGTGAGACTTACGGGAAACAGAAGAACAGTGTCGTGGTGCTTAGGAGTACTGTCCACGCGAATGTGGCTGGTAGATATCTCGCCTTCACGTCGCATTTCGGCATTCTGCACGCTCCACTTCGTGGTCGACGATTAACGAATTATTAATGGGTAAGATTTCTGCTACCAGAAAACATGGCCGCGTCCATCGGTGCTGCTTATTTGCAAGTCGCGCGGTCCGTATTTAGCACGGACTTCCATTCTCGACCCGCTCATACATCCGTGGCATCTCGATAATCGGTACCGACTATTAACCGCGCGTCACTCCGGCAAAAACATCCGTAACGTGATTAATATTTAAGCGCTTCTGCACGCACGATCCGCGAACACACTACCTTGCTGACATACATATATGCGTATACATAACACGATGTGTGTATAACATAAGTATGTAGATACGCGCATATATTGTGTGGACGACGGCGAGCCGTGCCCCCTCTAGCTCGTGCGTTCCCAAACACGATCGTACGAGACCCTGCGGAGTCCGGACGGACGGGCTTTCACGCTTTTTCATCCGTCTATGCATTTCGAATCTTTACGTCCCGTCTGCAATACAAGCTTTTCGACCGGATCGGTCGCTTTACCGAAAGCAGTATTCGCACAATTCCATATCTCCTTCTAAAAATACAATTTCACGCGCGTTTACGCTTCGCTTCCTTTGTTTATTTGTTCATTCTGCTATTCAGGAGCTATTCTTACTTTTCGAGAAGATAAACCAAAAAGAAAAATAGATGTTGATTTTATCAAACAGATTTCGTGGGAATTGTAAAATAAAATGAAGAAAAACAATAACTGTAAACGCAGAATTTTCATTCGATAATTAAAACCGATTATTTGACCGACAGTGTGCGTTAATGCATTGTTGATGTAAAATTGAAAAATTGAGCAGTATTGTACATAGTCTATGGTTTAGTGTCCGCTACAGAACTGTATTATCGACTCATCTAACAATTGCATATAGTGTCGCCACAGACGAGGTATACGAGTAGACCTTTCACCCAATGCATTTTTTCGGCCCCTTTTCATGGTGTCTCGAAACACCATTACCATTTTCGTGTCATTTGCAACGTTACCAACAGATTTAAAAATGAATTTCAATCCCTGCATAGTCAACTCACATTTATTTGTGCACACGATACAGCTGCAGCACATCAATACTGATTCAGTGAATAGTTTCTCAACTGACCGCCATCCATGAGAAGAGAGCGCTGAAACCACCTCCGAATTTTCAGGTCGGTATGGCAGTCAGATTGGGTCACGAAAGTCCATAGGGTGTAAGATCTATTCGTATACCTCGTTTGTGGTCACGTGGCGTGTCTACCCTCCCACGCGTGATTTGAAACTTTTGATATTTACCCCATACTGTAAATCTACCAACTGTAGCTAGTTGACCAGTATAGCAGGTGTTAGAAAACACAGGCACATTGAGTCGACTTTAATTATTTCAACAGATAGTCCAATATACAATATCTTATAATGGCATTGCCAGCACATAATGGATTAAAAATCATACTTTAAAAATTCAACCTAACTCCTAATGTCCCCTACTCGAGGCTGCGTATCAAAAGGGAATAAAAAAACACGTGGTAACCTTTATATATGTATATATATTTTCTTCTATATATACATATATATACATATATTTTTTAATATGTAATACTCCATCGGATATAATAATACATTTGGGCCTGCATAGAACAAACAGACAGATAATGCAACATTCGCATAATTGTAAAGTATACTATAAATTAATGTATACAATATACATATATTTCTCGTGTGCTTTCTCCGATCCGTGAAAACTTTCGATTAAATAGGTCTCTTTTTGCGCAAAAGGAAGGTACAACTCGTTTTGTGCATTTTATTTTTTTGTTTTCTTTTTCATATAAAACTCTTTCCTTTTTTTCTCTCTTTACGGTTAAGATTTATCACACACGAGACGGTTACGGTAAGAATTCTTTTACTCTGTAAATTTATATACGAAATTAAGCATCCAGTAAAAGAGACTAACAAGAAACTTGTAGTAACTCAATTTTGAAATGATGTAGGCACTCGATATATATATTTGTTTCTTTTTTTTTTTCTTTACACGTAATTTCACTTTCATTAGTATGGAGCCGTATTTAATGTATAAAAATTTTACAGTGATCCACGAGGGGCAGGGGAGGTTAGGTCTATAGGGGGCGGGGTTGTTTGCTTGTTTCGGAAGTGATAAACGCGTCTCCAAGGAAATGTTTCAATTGTCGAGCAAATGGTTCCTTACCATACACATCTAACGTGCCGTGTGCACAGTTTCATGTTTTAGCGTACAGTCTAAAAATTCATTTTAAGTCCGCGTTCGTTCTGTGTAACAACAATTTCATACAGGTTTTGTTAATACTCATTTCATGCAACATTTATCACAGCGCCATTCGTGGTTCGTCGCAAGGAAGTACTAAACGTGGTGAATAATATTTAACGTGACGTAGTACAATTCTGGTACAAAAAATTGATACAATGTACAGGGTGTCCAAATAAACTATCAAGATTTTCGGAAAATTGGTTTAAAAAATCCGTACATTCTTTACGTACATCTCACTTTGCATTTTTCATCCTCGTTATATTTTTGTTACAAAAGAACAGGAGGAAGTGTTTGAAAAAACAATTGTTATTCGATCGAACCTATTCTACCCAAGCTTATGTCTAACAAGACTGATCGAACTGCGAAGGCGCTGTGTTCTTACCTAACTTGTCAATCAATCTTACTTTTGGTTAATAAGAGCGTGTTCACGTTGTACACGATTGTAAATACGTCATCAAAAATATACAGGGTGTTCCTGGGAAAAATTTTAATGGGGGATTTTAGAGGCCAAAATAAGACGAAAATCAAGAATACCAATTTGTTGATGAAGGCTTCGTTAAAAAGTTATTAACGTTTAGAGTTTGGAGAACGGCGCGTGATAGTGGTTCTCACACGCGAAACTTTAAACGTTAATAACTTTTTAACGAAGCCTCGATCAACAAATTGGTATTCTTGATTTTCGTCTTATTTTGGCCTCTAGAATCCCCCATTAAAATTTTTCCCAGATACACCCTATATATAATCAGTGATTAATTTTGTTACGCCCAGTCGATTACGAAGTGTTCGTATCAAAATTAAAATTTAAAATTAAAAAAAAAAAATTTGGTTTCCATTATGCTTATCGCAATTGCAAATTGTAAAATGCCAATTGTACGCCAATGTATAAATGTAAACGATTTTTGGTATTTATGTCGGACGATCGTGTATAATGTGAAAGGCGCGTTAACATATTCCCTTCCTTATCATTGAACACGTATTTTCTCTCTCGGACAAAATATTCGTAGTTTCCTACCTCGTCGATCGGGAAACGATTTATGCTCTTATATGAAATGTCTCACTTTTGATGCAAGAAGTAGGCCTGTCTGATTTATTTAAACGCACTATTGCTAATATGTTTCTGATAAATAAATCCCCGTCTGTTTCGATTTTTCTATTTGTTTCATTACATTTATTATTATGATCCAAATAAATCTACGACAATGTTTTATCCCTCCTCGATCCCACCCCATGTATATATCAAATATGGTATAGGTAATAAATTAATAAAAACTAATAAACGGAATAAATAATAAAAATTTCTTTTTTTTTTTAATTCGTTTGCAAACCGTGCGTGTTTTGCCTCCCGACTTGAACACATTTTATTCGAAATAAAATAACAATTCGAAGTGATCGATTATTTCAAATACTTTATTATTTTTATTTTACAAATGACACGAAAAAAGTGACTTTTATCTCGCGCGAGATACAGATAAATCATTTTCAAATTCAACTCGCAATAAATAGAATCATATACTGTATATACGTTTCAAAACAATGACATAACCTAAAAAAGAAAAATGGAAATTACTTCGTCATTTTGTAGTCTGAGGTTTTTGATATATAAACAGTTTAAAGTTTAGACCAAACTGAAAGCTTTTATTACACCTCGTAAACCAAACAGATTCCAAAATGGCGGACCTTTACGATTTTTGTTTGCATTGGGAATTTGCATGTTGCGTCGTAATTTTGAAACGCACCGTGTACCGTTTATAAACAAAATTTGTTATCATTTACGCGACAGTGGATATCATATCCCCGTCGACGAGATACACGAATAAATTGATCCCAGAGAGAAACAGAAATAGATAAGTACGGCGAGGAAGATATAGAAACAAAGGGGTCCCATGTTTCAAGAACCACCTAGGAAATTGACATTGCGCAAAGGGATTTGCACCCTGAACGTTCGCATATCTTAATCGCGAGTAAAAATCTATATAATTGTCTCTTGACGGTCAAAGATCGTGCACGTTTCTTAACATCTTTTTTGATTATACACTATAAAAATCGTCTGACTACGATTGATGATTCATCCGTTCGATGAGCTTTAGAAATTCACCCTTTTGCTGTATTCGTAAAACTGACACACTTATGTACGCATGACGTGATACAGAGTTTGCGCAGAAAAATATTCGCACTTAATTTACATTGCGTTACAAAATTTCCAAGGTGTCGTGATCACGTAACAAACGATCTTTGCTATCGAGTCTTTAAATAAAAAATAACGATACGCGTAATGTGAATCGAATCCGTAAATCGACGTCTATTTTCCCTTGTATCAATATTATATAAACGTTCGCGTTAGCCGTTACAATTAACGCGCATTGAAAATAAATCTATACCGACGTAGAAAATAATTTGTTGCTTGAAATTTGTCTCATTGTCTCATTGCACATTTTTCTTTTATTATAAAAATTATTTCACACCTGTAGGCATTCTGTATTTGTTCGACAATGATCAGGAATTATTATTACAAATATTATAAGTTGGTTTCCTTGCGGGACACAGACGATGAGATATGACGACGACATAATTATTGGACTAGTTTGAAAAATATGGTTAGCGATACATGAAATAATATTGAAGGGCGCGCATATTTATCTAACATATTTCATTTAGGTAATAAATAGTCTTAATCAAGGTTTTGTTTTTCAAACAGTGGTACACGCATTGCTGCACCACACTTTTTATTTATTTCATTCTGTTCTCCGACCAGAAACAAGCTTCGAATCGTAAAATACTGTTATGGCGGTACGACATTCTGGTCCAAAACAATTATAAGTATACGTTATACTTATCGTATATTAATTTACTTCAATTCAGGGCAAGACCAGGTGACACGCCACGGTTGAAAAAAATTCCCAACTTACTATCGACCTTAACCTACAAAATAATTTATAGGTTAATTATTTCAATTCTTAGGTCTCGATAAAAAGGAAAGTCTCGTTTAAAAACCATCGATGACCTTGAAATCTCGACAAATATAACCTTCGTTAAATAAGAAATCACTGTTTCTCTGGCGTTTTCCATTAAAAGCAAGCCGTATCACCTAACCTCGCCCAACGCAAATTGAACATACTCTTTCACACGCCGTTGGAAAGCTGTGTGTACGTGGCTATCGCGTCTTACTTAATTTCCGACGTACGAATTGGTCCGTTTCCGACTGGAATGTATTTATTTCACGCGGAATCTGTTTTCGATTGAACGGATACGAAACCAAGCCTAAGAAATCAACGGTACTTGCTTATTAATAATCTTTCTTTTCTTTTTTTATTATACACACGTGCCGTTGCATTTTGTCACGCTTGTAAGCGGCCTAATGGATTCTGTACTTTGCGAGAACACAGGTTATCGATTTCTTTGTTAGCTGTTGTGACACTTTCCAATATTGCTCCCCTTGTAACGAGGTGACTTTGAAACGCTTCGCGACACACGAATTAACGACGAAGCGCATGGGACATGGCAGATACAGTAAAATACCAGTCTGAACCGTTGTTTAGAAAAGTGTATACGTTGTGAGAACCTAGAACGACGATCGTTCGATATTGCCCCGCGGATTTTAGTTATTTTCTGTCGCGTCCATCTTGGCCGCCATGTTGGATATAGAGATCGTACGATGCAACAATCACCGTTTCGATATTTTGATGTTTGGAAAGGGTATCGAATTCTGAATAAAAGACTATTAAAGTGGAAGTCGATAATAAATAATTACGAAGATATTTTTTAATTGATTCTTAATTTAAACATTGGTCACAGCGTCGTCCATTATACGATCGATATAATCGCACAGGAGGTTAACCAATTTCATTCTCCTGAAGATGTTTGTCGTTTCTATAGAGGTATTACTGTCAGGGAATTAGTATACTGTTTTAATTTCAGGGTTATCCAGGAAAAGTCACCTCGAATATCTCAATTCTGCGAATGATTGTCAAAGGAAAAAAAGGCTTCTAAATTCTGTTTTATTTTTTTTTCTGACACCGCCATGACGGGAGGATGTTTTCAGTGCACTTAGCAGGGGAATAGATTTTGTCACGAACTATAGAAAGCTGTGCTACATACGTGACTTACGTAACCCAAGGTTCTCATGAATAAAAACACCAGTTTAACGTTCGATTGGTTCGAGGTAATCACTATTCTGGTACCAATTATCGAGCGCATGCTGAAAGTCAGAAGAGCACGTGAATCCGCTTAAAAACTCGACTTCGCCGCCCGTGGAAATTATTCGACAGAAAATGGCGCGAGATTCGAACTTCCAGTATTTTTGTAGCCCCCGAGAAACGTTAAAACGGACAAAAATATGTAAATTTTTATATCGAAATTAAATGCAAAACTCAATTTAATTTGAATTTTATAAATTGGGAACTGCAATACCTTCGAAACGACCAAATTTTTTTTTTAACCAACGATTAGTAAACAGCAGAACAAAACTTGGAACGTATGCAAAGTTACGATTTTTTGTACACGAAAACACTGTATGTTTACAGAACGCTTGGAGAGAATGTTAAAACGTTAAAAAATCCAACGAGCATCGCTGTTTCCGCCTTTGATGTTTGCACGCTTCGTTTCGAGAGAATAGCCCTGCACTAATATGCATTTTGAGCCTGCAAAAGTGCCGTTTAAAAACGCGTACAGCGAATGTTAACAATTAGAACGTGGCTGAAATCCCGCGTTTCGAGAAAAACAATTGAAACTTTGCTCTCTGTCGTGCGATCTCTCAGAGTCCATCGAGTTCGTTCGAAGTAATTTTATTCAGCTATTCTTCGTAACGGATTTCAGGAACATCGTACGAATTTAATTCTATTTAATTCGCGTTCGTATAAAGTTTCGGTGAACTTTAAAAAATTCAATATATATATTATTATTTTCACATATAACTTAACTCTGGTTTAAAAGAACAATACACATAATTTACTTGAAACTGTTCGGTGAAACAAGGTCGATCACAGAAATTAATTCGTTAACGTTTCCCTCGGTTCGAACATAATTTCACGAAAACGAAAAACGTTGAAATCCTTTGTCTTTTCCTTGGATCGAATCAACTTACAATTATGGAACGGCATCTCCTCTAAATGTCGACAATTGTTGGCAGTAGTCCGAAATAATCCACGACGCTCGTGTACTGTACAAATAAATAGAGATCTGCGTCGATCCAGTGGCGTGGAGGAGCCTCGAATTTCGTAATCGATATTCAAGGGGCAAACAAATATCTACGATCGATCCTTACGGCGCAGGATCGTGAAAGAATAATTTAAAATCGAACTAAAATTTTTCCTATTAAATATATGTTTGGTTTTACGCTAATTATAGTATAAAGAAGCCGACCGTTGGTACAGGAAGTCAATAAATACCGAACGAAACCGCGTCGTTCATCTTCTTTGACCGTCAATAGAATCCACGACTCGTTTCGTCGTTCGCGGTACGAGACGACCAAAGACGTGCAATACGATAATCATAGTTACTTCCCACACGTATTATTTCCCACAACCGAGACCCGCTCGATGGAAAACGATCCTCAAATCTAACCGCCCGGCGAAGCAACTTTCCGCGACTTCCGTAAGAAAAATGTAACTCGACGTTTTAAATTCGTCCCACGCAGTTTTTTTTTTTTTTTTTTTTTTTGTGTGTTTTCCACTGTTCTGAGAAACGGAGATATTTCGGAATAGACGAACGATCGTTCGAATCGAGTGGTCGGACTCGTTCTGTCCGGGATTGTTCGGTTCCCCCGTTCGAAAATTACGTTCCCGAAGGACAAAAGCGATTCAGGAATTATCTCGATCGGACATTAAAGTTCCCCGACTCGACTAGGATTTAGCAGTGTCGCTCTGTGCTTTGTCGTTCTGGGCCTCGTTGAACCCGTCGATTAGCGTTTCAATGATGAACTTAATCGTTAGCTTGTAGACGTTCTCCACGTTCTCGGAATATCGGTCCTCCAGGGTCCTCTCCACCGCGTCCAGGAATGGCTTTTCGATTTTCTGGAAGCACAATTTCCGTATACGTATCGCACGAACACATTGTGAACACAGAAAATAGTTAAAATATATTATACAGCACTAGGATCAACTTCGAATAAACCTGCGAACATGCAAACGATTGTGTAACACTGTATTTACTAAAGAAAGTGTACGTTCGTTGTATCGCGACGCGGCGCGTGTACGTTGCACGTGGCTCGAGCACGGAATGAGTAGAATTTAGAAAGGATGCGTACAGGGGAAACGAGAAGAGACGCGTGATTGGTTCTTGCCACTAGAGCGGGCACGCGACGCACCAATAGACGCTTATCACTAGGACCGTGTGCATTAAACTCTGTCTAATAAAATGAATATTAGATTTGATAAAAATTTCACCTTCCTTTTAAAAGAATCGAAAGAGAATTTGTTTTCGAAAGTAGTTTTTCTATCTTTGAAAGATATAATATTTTACGAGGACTGATGGTCAAACAAATATGGCGACCGTGCATGGAAGAATCGTGTCTTTCCTATTTCCAAACGCGTTTTGTATTTCTTCTAGCAAAAGCGAGACAATTCAATTTCACTCGTAGCATCGCGGTCGATCGAATACTTTTGCGGTCCACTTTATCTTTCCATCGTCTCTGCGAGCATCGCCTACTTTCAGTAACTGTGAAACGAGTTCCTTTGCCCCTCTGGCGACTCCCGAAATCGTCTAGCGCGACGTTGCGTGGGCGGGGTGCAACAGAACCACGGAAGAAGACATTTAAAGCGCGAGGAAAGGAAAATCGATAGGGAAAAATCAAAGGATCGCCCGACGAGAAACGGTCGCTCGGAGACAATAAAAATATCTTCAGTTATGACGAATGGTGTCTAATGTAATTTCTTATTAATTTTTTATCGTAGAAATAATTATAATTTTGAGATTGTTCGGATAGAGTGATATCGAGTTTCGATAATATTTGTGTTATTTATAAAAGTTAAAGTCGTTGGATCAGACGACTGTTAATGAGATTTGATAAAAATAGATTGCAAATGAAGTAGGTGCTCGAGACCGTTCAAGAACAGTTTTAGCGAACAGGATTTTTGTTCTCGTCTGCCTTTTAAAGACTAATGGAAGCTGTTACGGCTTCGCTGAATAAGGAACGGGCAATATTTCTTAATAATTCCGTTAATATTTTCAGAGAAACGTTGTGTAATTGCATTATCGTTAAACGACGTGACGTTGACACGCTTCTGTTCTCAAACAATTCTAATTTCATTCCACGGGACTTCACGTATCGTTTATGTCGCGACGATACACTTTTTTTTTTAAATTCACCAGACACATTTTAATCGAGTAATTAGTTTCCTTAATAGTCTATAGTGAATAATAAATAGTATTTAGTCCGTCAGGGTCTAACCTCACTTAATTCTAACCTTAATTGACGCAATTTTTTTATTTTAAGGGAGAAACGAACCTGATCCAAGCCGCCATTTTTATTTACCTTTCTCGAAGTTCACTAGCCACATTTTAGTTAAATAATTGGTTTCTCTAGCATTCTATAGTGGATAATAAATAATCTTTGGTACGTCAGGGTCTAACCTCACTTAATTCTAACCTTAATTGGTGCAATTTTTTTATTTTAAGGGAGAAAGGAACCTCATCCAAGCCGCCATTTTTATTTACTTATTTCGAAATTTACTAGGCACATTTTAGTTAAATAATTAGTTTCTCTAGCATTCTATAGTGGATAATAAATAATCTTTGGTACGTCAGGGTCTAACCTCACTTAATTCTAACCTTAATTGGTGCAATTTTTTTATTTTAAGGGAGAAACGAACCTCATCCAAGCCGCCATTTTTATTTACCTTTTTCGAAGTTCACTAGACACATTTCAGTTGAATAATTGGTTTCTCTAGCATACTATAGTGGATAATAAATAATATTTGGTACGTCAGGGTCTAACCTCACTTAATTTTAACTTTAATTGGAGTCATTTTTTATCTTTTGCTCACATTTCAAAATGGCGCTTTGTTAGACTCGATAAGAGTGTCGTAGAGTTTTATTTCGAACCAGATATGTATTTCTACGAAGGTGAATAATTAGTTAGGGGTGTCGTTTACCGAAAAACGTAAAAATTTACCCAAAAATATTGTGGATTGAAACCAGGGATCTTCGTGTGCGTGGCACCGACTTGATGAAGGCAGGTCAAGAAGACGTCCATGTCGTCAAGGCCTTTGATACCTTCGTTGAGGGCCGACATAACCTTCTCCGCGTGTTGCGCCAATTCCATGCTGTTATTCTGTTGCTCTTTCGTCTTCAGCTCGCGAAATTCCGTGAACATATTTAACAATTCCGCATTCTCTTCGAACAACCTACGAAAAATACGAAAATTTATGGCACTAAGAACAACTTTGCAAAAATATTTTTATTTTCTTTTTCAACGTATTTTTAAATATCACAGTTGCTCTATACTAAACTACGCGTGATATATGGTTACGAAGAAAGAGGAACTTAGTAAAAGACGCCATTTTGTTCATGGCTAGCAATTTCTGCAATTTAAAAATCCTCAGAATACTGGGACAAAGATTTAAGGGTGCATTTTATTGTGACACGAGTTTTATTTGGAAAAATATTTTTTTCGAAATTTTATGTCGCATAATTTATCGTAACTGGAATATTTGTTGTCTCGTAACATGTTCGAAAGCTGGTACGTTATATTTGCTCGTTATCAATTATTATCGGACTACGCGATCACGCTAGAGGCACATGCCATTTAATGGCCAATCCTATCATTCATCATCTGCGATTGTGTCAAACAAGTATCGTGTCCCGTTATCATTCGTATTCCACTTCGTTCCATAAACCTCCGTGACTTCCTGTTCGTGATTATACACGAAAAGGATAAACGAATGCTTACGATCCAATGTGATTTTTAATCCTGGAAGTTCACCGAACGATTCGAATATCTCTTAAAAATACACGGGCACAATTTCAGGAAAACAGTTTCATTCAAAATGGCGCTCGAACAAAGGGTTGTAAGCTTTCCATAAGTAAATACATACGTTGAGTACTCGTCGGAAGATCATGCTGATATAGATAAAACATTTTTACTGTATTTACGAACAATTATCAAATTTCTTACGACGAGAAGAGAAACCTTCGTGTCACGTGAATTTAAAAATATACGTATTTATATCTCGCTAGTAACATTTCGCTAGGGACTTTTTCAGCCATTTCTGAAAGGCACAGAACTCATTTAGTGTCGGTTAATCTTAGAAACAAGTAATAATAGTGATTTAAAAATAGTCCTTTGTACCAATCTGGATCAATATATTCATCCATGCATTTACTTTTCACTAAAAGAACGCGAGAATGGATGCTATTTATATACGCACAATAGTTACCGTCGCGTATAGTTGTTTTTATGGAATTTCGAAGATCGTCTCATGCTGAACAAAACCCAGGAAAATTTCGTGTTAATACTCTTTGGAAAATATATAGTAATTTTTTTTCTCGAGGTTTCTGTTGCAAAGAACTCGTGCACATAACCTCACAATAGAAACACACAACCTCGCGATCCACTTAAATACCAAAGCAGTTTGCTACATTTTCTACTTCACCCGAGCGATTTCTCACCAATTTTATTTTCGCCAATTGTTGTTACCAAGAATGTTATCTCTCTTTTAAACAACTTTTGCTCGACAAGTTTAAAGTAACTTCGGTTTCACGTTTGCTGGAACACCGGTTCGCCGGATACGATCCATTCTCTTTAAAAGCAGCACATGCTCCACTTTCTCTGTCAGCCCGACGAAGAAAGAGAACCAACGAAACGTATCTGACCCTTTTTGAAAATCCGACGCCCTATCGAGACACAAACGTCGCGTGTTTGTGCATATAAATCAGAATTAAGAAATTCACCCCCGGCTAAACGACGGAACCTCTTCGAGAGAGAGATTTTCGAACAAAAGTGTTCTAAGAAAATAAGTCCAACGCGTGGTTTGCGTTTCTATCAGAGCGAGAAATTTAAAGATAATTTAACAAAGTAATTTAACAAAATAATTTTTGAAGGAGGAAAAAATTTGAAAATTTGAAGATTATTTTAAAAATGTTCCCAATTCAGTCACGAATAAAGTTCCATGGGTAAGAACGTGCATCGTTTTCCGGTGCTTGGTACGTTACGTAACCCCCCACCATCGTCGTAGGCCCGCCCACTTTCTCCCACCCTCGTCGTTAGACTCTCCTCGTCGTCACCAGTAGAGACGTTCGAAGCGGTACAATAGACATTCCAGAAATGTTCGAAATGGTACGATAGACGTTCCAGAGACGTTCGAAATGGTACGATAGACGTTCCAGAGACGTGCGATGTGGACTTCGAACGTCTCTGCAACCTCTATCGCCCCACTTTCAAACGTTTATAGGATATCTATCGGGGAAGAGTGTCCGGGGGCTATAAACCCCTCGAATTTCCTCAAATACTGAAATCAATTTTGCAAATACTTAACCTATAAAAACCTATAAAATCACCAGTCAAATATTATCAAACATTCTCTGACGAGCAGTCCATTTGATCGAATCGAAAAATACTTCACCCCCATATGTGTTCTAATTTACTTTACAATTTCAATCGACATTTTATTTTATGTTATATCGTGATTTACACGGTTATTTTTCTGGCACCGAGGAGATGTTTCGAGATGTAGCGACAAACAAACGTCCGCGCGTTCTCCGTTCGAGCCAACCCTCTTGGGCTCGACGCCAGACAAAATAACTTCGTCCTGGACGATAAGAAACCCTCCACACCTTCTAAACATCCGATAAATTTCGAAAAAAAACCATTCAAACACGGGCACACAAAATACACACATTTTACAATTGTCGTTCGAGCAGTCTGTCCATGTATCGATGTAAAATTTATTTACCTCTGGGAAAAATTTTAATGGGGGATTCTAGAGACCAAAATAAGACGAAAATCAAGAATACCAATTTTTTGATCGAGGCTTCATTAAAAAAATTATTAACACTTAAAGTGTCGCCTGTGAGAACCACTATCACGCGCCGTTCTCTAAACTCTAAACGTTAATAACTTTTTAACGAAGCCTCCATCGACAAATTGGTATTCTTGATTTTCGTCTTATTTTGGTCTCTAGAATCACTCATTAAAATTTTTCCCAGGGTTGACCGAACACCCTGTATATCGTTCGATCCATAGTTCACGAAAGTCTTCCAACGTTTTCGAAACAAATGGTTTTAGTTTGTTCGAAAGTTACATTAAGATGATAAATCTAGTATCGTGGATCCAGAATGAAACCTACCCTCATCCTCTCTTTTTTTTTAACGTACTAAATAATTTTCGAGTTCTTTGTTATTAAATCAAATTCAATTTTTCTATCGTCGTAAATAGGAGTTGCACGAGACGGTAAAAAAAAAAAGAAATTTCTATTAACGAAGGGCCGCCTGGATGGAGCTTGACCAATATCCCGAACATAACACGCACGTACGGCCGTTTATTGATTTCGGAGGTTCTAGCTGAACTAAACGCGTCTGATACGCTCTCATCTCGAACGACAACGTCGACCAGATCGGGTTTGATTAAGCTGTCACGAAGCAAGACCGATCTTCCGTCCCTATTCGAATACATTATTACCGATCGGTGCTCGAAACACGATAAGAAAGCTTTGAAACGGTCCTTGGGGCTCGTAGACTACTATAAAAAAAGACATTTTATATATCGTTCCTTTAATTCCCTAGAATTATATTTTTTCGAAACTGTTAGAAATTTTTTTAACCTTCAATCGAAAGAAATTTAGAAATTTTAAAAGGCACCTCTTTTTCTGAAAAATTTTACACGTTCCACGTGGGTCTGTGAGCTTTAAAAAATTTCTAAGGGATGATTCACCCTCGTTTTTACGTTAAAAATTTTACAAAACAAACAGTGTACATTGCTCTTCGTTTCTACTTGCGTTAATTAATATTAGTATCCTTCTATTAGTTAAATTTTACTGTATACAATTTTCCTACAAACTTGCGTTTTAAGGAGAATATTAATTAGCAATATTAATTAATAAACAATAATTTAAACAATAGCAGTGCCACTAGGGTAGCAGTAAAGTGCCCCTAACTCGTATTAAATACGACTTCCATTGGAAATATTTTATTTCGAATTCCCTGCATTACCGACTGGAACAATTCTTGCTAGTATCCCTAACGGTGGAACATTCTCGTCAAACACATCCGTTTGAAGTAATCGAACAAGGATTCGACGTTGATCTGTCTGGAAGGCGTCGATTAAGTTGCGTAAAGAGTTAATTAAGCTATCTGGGAACGGTGTGGAAGGTCGACCAAGCTGCGTAACGAGGAACGAACTGTTGATTATACTATCATGGTGGGGAATGGGGCAGATTAGACTATCTCAGGGGCTGACTCGGTTGTCGCGGAAATAAATAAGGAGTCGATTACGCCGCCACGGCAAGGAGTGGTTGTTTACCTCAGGGGTTGATTAACCCCTCAACGACCGAGGATAAGACTCGACTCAGTTTACACGAGGCTTCGTGTATTTAAAAAAATTAATACCAAACGATAGGCAAGAGCCAATTTGATCTTTAAAATTCATTTTAAAACGTTCAGAAATAAAATTTGCTAATTTTTTTTTTGTCATTTGAAAATTTGTACGGGACCAAAAAATTCTGGAAATTTAATTTCCGATAAATTCTAATAATTTCGTTTGCTCCCGGTCAAACAAGGAAAACATGGGCTGCCCGTTTACTTGTATTTATATTTTACGAGAGGAAACGAGAGTTCGCGCGACGTACAGGGACCGTCGCCAAGGGATCAAAGCTGCCATCAAAGCTGCTGCAAAGAGGAGCTGATTATATTTTCTCATAAAGGAACGAGAAGCTGATGCGGCTGCCTTGAGAAGAGAAACGGGAGGACTTGGTGGTTTTTGTGGAGCAAGGATACGCGCACGGTGTCCTAAAGAGCAAATATGGCGCTGATTTCACGCACAGTTTGGCTCTAGGGACTCCGTCGTACTTGGCTGGAATTCAAATCGAATTGCTTTTAACTCGACAAATTAAATAAGATCCTTGGTGCTCGGTCAGTCCTTGCCATATCTTTCGTAGTCTCGCTCGCTTTAAACCGTATCGTCTTTCAAACTGCGAAGATAAAATTCCAAGCATGCAGAGTCCTGCCTTATCGATCGAGCGCGTAAAAATTAAAGACGCCGGAGGAGCCATAAAAAAAAATGGCGTCGCGAGAAACGAAATAAACGCAAGCGCGAATATATCGAATTCGCGTTAAGAAACGATAAAAATCTAAAATTAGGTGACGCAGAGGTATTTGGAATCGAACTCTGAACGTTTAATTTAATGTAAAA